CAGAAATCTACTTAGATGTAAGATCATACACATTTAAAGCCAAATTCACCCCACTTCCTTTGAAGCCTTTCAGTGGGGCATCTGTAATGGTTTGAGTCCAGAGGGCAACTGAGCACCATGCATCTGCTCACGTAGCTTCTCACTCACCCCTTCCCCCTTAGGAATGGGAAGGAGAAAATAAAATAAAAGGCTCAGGAATTAAGGTAAGAACAGGGAGGGGTGGTTCACCCATTATTGTCATCGGCAAAAGACAGATTCATTAGGGGAAGAAAAATAACATCACTTTAAATCAAACACTAACAAAACCAACACTTAACAGACAAGGTAGGACAGTGAGAAGCAATGCCACTTCCAAAAACACCTCCCCCCCCTCCCTTCTTCCCAGGCTCAGCTCTGCCCCCACTCTCTCTTTACCTCCTCCCCCAGCAGCGCAGGGGGCAGGGGATGGGGGTTACAGTCAGCTTGCTGCTCCTTCCTGCTCGGGAGTGGGGATGAATGCCGCACACTCCTCCCCTGCTCCACATGGCTCCCCTCTCACTGGAAACAGTCCTCCATGAACCTTCTCTGGCATGAGTCCTCCCCACAGGCCACAGCTATTCCCATGCTGCCTTGGCCTGGGTCAGCCCTGTGTGTTGCAGTCCTCCCAGTGCCAAACCACAACAGAGGAGCCGCTTCTCCCCTCAGAGTCCCAGCCTCCTTTAAGCACAGATGCCTGTCCTGGTGTGGGCTCCTCCAAAGACTTCAGGTCCACCATGGACCTCCACGGGTGGCGGGGGAGCGGCCCTGCCATCTCATCATGGGATACAGGGGGTCTCTACTCTGACGCACCTCCCTCCCTTTGTTCTCCTTCCATGGACCTCAGTGTTCGCATAGGTATCCTTCTCGTAACTCCTCATCACAACCCCCAATCCTCCTCCCAGGTTCCCCTTCTTAAATATGTTATCGCAGAGGCACAGCCACCACTGATAATTGGCTCGGCCTGGTCCAGAGGCAGGTCTGACTTGGAGCCAGGGGAGCTTCGAGAAGCTTCTCACAGAAGCCACCACTGTAGCCCCCTCCCCTGCTACCAAAAAACCCTGCCACAGAAACCCAGCACAGCATCTAAAGTAAGTTTAAGCACCCTTTGCTTCTGAGGATTTACAAAGACATAAGCAGTGTCTGATTTACCTCTGAAGGTGACACTCACTTCCATTGATTTTAGTGACAATGTTCCTTATTTAGGTGTGAAAGTTAAATTACCTAATGTGAGAGAGATTAATTCATGTCCTGTTCTTAAATACCACAATATCTTTCTCAGTAAAGACAGTAAATTAAATGTTGAGTTTATACCAGCATAAATGAAGAACCTTTCAGAAATTATTCTGTTAGACAGGTGTGAATGAAATCAGACTATCTTTGTTCTCCTACATCACATATAACAGCATATTGTCAGCTCAAAAGATGTATAGTTTAATTTTAAACAGTATCATTTTGATAATGTGAAACAGCACTTTCCCATTATTAAGTATTTTCTGAGACAGCACAAGGTTATCCACTCATCCATTATGAGAAGTGTAGATCACATATCAGCAAATTTCTCCTCAGTAGAGAAAATCAAAGTCCTGACATCTGAAACTGTGCTTTGTACATTATTTTGAATATCTGTTTGCTTCAGTATCTTCTTTTATGAGTTTATAAATTTATCAGCCAGCCTCCATGTAGCTTTTATTAGGGTTCCAGAGCAATTTGTATTTTTTACATTATTAAAATACATTTCCTTTTTTCATCAAATAAAACTAGTAATCTTTCATGATCATTTGAGGTATTTACTTCCTGTCATTTCTGTTGTTTTGGAATATTCAGGCTAAGTAGATGACAATAGTTTGATGATAGTACTTTGGCCCTGTTGAAGTCAATGGGACTACATTCACTGAGGTCAGCAAGGCATCATTCCACTTATGGCCCAATTTCGAACAGATCACAATTTAGTGATTTGATCCATGACTCATAGTCCATGATATTTCACACTGAAAATGCAATGAAATGGAATTTGAGACTATAAAAGTCTCTAAACAAACTCCTCATGTGGAAAATGGCCCATTCATGATGAGATTTAAACAAAGGTCTTAGTCTGAACCAAAGCTAAAAGGGAGTCCAGAGAAAGGAAGCAAAGCTTATGCTGCCCTGCTCATAGAAGTGTTAATATCCAGTATTTATTCTCTTGAAGAAAATAATTTTATATGTGATTAACAAGAAATAATTTTGATAAATTACTTCTAAGTCACTTAAACAAATATCAGTTTCTAACTATAAAATATTTCAACATATGGAACCCAACATATGGGCCAGTCGCAAAGGTGCTAATTTTTGTAACTTACAGAAATATTAAGTTAATATATTTTTACCCTTAATCTTGAACTGTGCACTTCAAATGCTTTCAGCAAATGCAGTATTATATTCCAGATTCTGTATGTTCATATTCATCAAATGAACAGTGTCTTTAAGACTAATAATCAAAATAATTGATTGTCAGGCAGAGCCAGGACTCCACTAGCAGCCACATCATTATGTTTCAACAGCAAGTGAAACTGTTTTTATGGTTAAAAAAATCTCAACCATGACAGCAGCTTTATACATCAGCTACCAATAACTTTATAAAACCTGAAGTGCAGTTTTTGTTTGCTTTGTATTCTAACAATATCAAAATGCTATTACACTGTCAAATGAGTTGTGCTATATATCTTACATAAAACTGAGGATCTTGTACAGAAATTAAACTCTGGATCTGGCAAAATAACTGTTCAAACATAAATCTGATGAGGACTGCATGGCAACTGCGTGATAAGAGGGTGAAAGGAACCAATCTGACCATGATACCAAGGCTCATTTCCACAGGCGTCGGTCTTGGAAAAAGTCTACTGGGAGCAATAGAGCCATTTAGGCATGCTCAGACTACAGATTCATGCGATTTGATAGAACTCTGAATGCCAAGACGCATGAGCATCTCCTCAGGGCCAGTGTCACCTAGTTACGAAGTAAATAACTGAAATGTTTTCCTTGGCATTTATTTTTCTTAGGCTTCCAAATATGATTCAGAGATAAAAGCATGTAAATAAAGCCTGCCTTTTTAAAATATTTCAAAATCTTAGCTGTCTCATAACTGGACAGTTTAAACTACAAAATAGTACAAGTAATTATCAACAGTTAACACAGGGAGAAAAAGGAAACAAAGTTAAGATAAAGTACTGAGACTAGTTTTCATGAGCATCTTTATGAAAATGTAACTGAAAGTGCCAGAACATTTTTCAATACAATGTACCTAAACAGACATGCTTTTCAAAAGGGTCTAACAGTTCTCAAATTTTACTGAGTCTTAAATGGAGCCACACTTGACTCAATGGAAACACTTGCATAAGAAAGAAAAGGTCTATTTAATGACCAATTTGACTTAAGATCAGCACAGACATAAAATTGGAATTTATCCTTTAATAGAGAAAAGGAAATCTGTTTTTTATTTTTATTTTTTATTCCAGAGTATTCCTGTATCTCCATACCACAACTGTTATTTTATGGATGGTGCCACTGAAAATTATTCTGCAGAGTCCCAGATCTGCATCTTTTTGTGGGCATTCTTGTCAACCATATGCATGTTCATTCAGCTTTCTGCTGTGTCTTGGGTTGCTATTCACACAGTAAGACACAATCTCAGCACAAAGTCATTCAGCTCCATTGCTGAGATACCTCCTGTCTGGTACTAAATTTGGTCAAGTGGTTATGTGACTTACCATCTAAAACTCAACAAAACAATTCTTTGCTTGAAAACTGGAGACTGGCCATACCTTAGGCATTCTTACTCTGTTGTTTTCAAAGACACTGCTTTTCATTTTACATATTGTTGGCATAATGCTTATAATGCATTTGCCCTCACAGGTTCTAAAAACAAAGAACAAAGTTCTCTTCTACCTTTTTACATCTGTATAAGGAACACATGATGCAATAAATTTTCAATAACAGATTATGGATTCTTTGAACTGGGAAAGTACAGTACAGAAGAGAAATACCTCCTAAATCTTGCATATAATTAGCTACAGCAATGATGCTATTATGAACATAAGTGCATTGGATAACTTGTATTCCAAAAGCAGCACAACTGACACTCCCGACAGATGATTCTGTCAACATTGACTCCTCAAAAACAAACAAAAAGTTGGTTTCTAGGCTATTGTGCTATTCCATATGGCATTTTCAGGAAGGAATTTAAAGATCCCTTTCTACTTCCACAAATGCACAGTCAGTCTGAATTCTTACCTTCAGCTGCCCTAAAACATCTGACAGAGAAAAGCCTTTTTATTTGTTCTGTTTGTAGAGTGTAAATCCTGGAAACAGAAGGCAAATGTTGAAATTTATTCTGTCAAGTACAGACTGTGCAGACATCAATACTTTTTTTAACATACAATCAAAAATGGCTTCAGAGAGAAGCCAATTTGAGAGAATGATGCTCGGAAACCAAAGTTTCACTAACATGTCAGTGTATATTAACTTCTTTATATTGCCTTTAACATGGCATTACACCTAGCCAGGGATGAAACCTCAGACTGAAGGGGGAAAAAACAACTACTGCTAGTAAATGACAACTAAGTTATGGTTAGTGAGACTGAAAAGTATCAGTAGCTTTATTGTGCTAGAGGCCTATTTTGACATATTAATGACTGGTTGAGAAAGAGCTACATTTATCTAGGTCATAATGAGATATCACAAGCTGCTCCAAAGGATATGAAATGTACATATGGGATGGACAAGACAGCAGAGTAAGATAGGGACATAATAGTAAGATTGGAAGGAAAGGCAAGAACTCCTTTATATTAAAAATCAGCAAGGGTACCTGTAACCTATATGAAAAAATTCACTGCACTTTTGACATTGTCTAATGCTTGCCACCCAAATAAACAGTAATTACACGCATATTTCAATATAATAAGCCAAAAGTCTGATCCCAACTCCCACAAACCAACTGAAGCATATTTCAAGACAATTCCATTTGTAATAAAAAACAGATGGTAAAGGAAACAGATGTCTCTTTGTGATCTGATTTACACATCTGCAGACATTTACAATATGCATGCATTTCCAAAGAATGCTGAGCAAGTTAAATTGGGAAATGATAATTTTTACTTAATGGGCATGCGCAAACAAAGAGTGTGACCCAAGAATAAAATAAGGTGTGACAAAGACACATCTATCCTACCAAACCTATCTGTTTCCAAGCCAACATCATATTACAGCACTATGTTAAAGAAACACCAATCATGATAAAAATCAGACAACTTTGGAAATAGTTTACTGCAGGGAAACATCACTCAAATGTGAGGTGGCTGAGGGACGAGTGATTTTCAGATTTCTCCCCTCTCTGAAAGGAGGCGTGAGGTTAGCAATGGTTGTCCTGCAGAAATGTATTATGCAGAAAAGCAAAACATCCCTCAGCAATGCAGGCCTGGAGATTTATTTAAGATCGTCTAAATCTCAGATTGCCATTTTATGCAGATACCAATAATAATCCATTGACAATGACATAAAAAAAATTGCAATGGTCTCAGTGAAATTATGCACAAGAATCAGCAGAGAAATGTGTTACAACAAAGAAGGACGGAAGAGTCTCACTCAAAAAGGGAAAATCCTTGCAGAACCTCTTAGATGAGAGGTACAGGATAAAGCAGTGCAAGGAGCCAAGATGTTAACAGCCTTCAAAATTAAGTTAGGTTGAGGTGGGTCAAAGCTATACAAAATCTTCTCCAAATGTAACTGCTCATTTGGGAGATCCTGATGGTTTCTTAGATTTTGTCCCATTTCTTTCTTTCTGGATAGCTTACTTCAGACTCACAAAGGGTACCACACTGTCAGACACGGAGAATTAAGTCTTCTAATTCATCAAAGCACAAAAACCAATTTCAGTGCCACATTTCTGAGCTGAAGGAACCGTATCCTATAATGATATTCAATATCCATGTCCATTCCAGTTCCGGGCCTGTCTGCAGAGACTGTAAATAAGGAACTAGATTCGCTCAAATGTTCTGTTTCCTCCTGCTGAAGGGATGCTGAACAGCCTTAAATCTCCGTTTATTTTGCACCACTGTAGGGACCAGTGGGACACAGACAGAATGTACCAGTAAACCTGTCCAAGGGGGCTAATTACACCACTGGGAACTGGGCCAGTTTAACCAGTTTAATTTCATATAGGCTGTCATACAATCAACAGATGGTAAGTACTTTCAGGTACTAACCACTTGGGCTGGAGTCAAATTGGTGAGCTGGAGGTGAAAAGCTCCATATTCTATTACTAATCCCCTGAGCTATAGAGTCCCCAGCTGGTAGTTCTACAAAGGTTCACACAGCTTTTTTTCAAAGGCAGCAAAAGTAGTTAAAAGGTGGGTTTTTTTAAAAACAAACCAAACCAAACTCACAGTTGCAGGAACATCTTTTTTTCTTAAAATAATCTCTCTGGAAGTAGCAGACTGTACACATTTTACAAGAATAAACAAACTTCTCTAATATTTATCCACAAATTGGGAGTCAGAGATCAGTAGTGCAAATTTCTGCTGACCGGCAGCATTTATTCCATAAACTTTGGGTATCCTAAGTGGTCCATTAGAGAACAACAGATATCTTCAATCCGTCTAATCTCTTCATTGGGCATGTTTTGCTTCCAGGCATGAATGCTACTTGGTGAAATTTCCCCTTCATAAGGAAGATAGAAAAGACTGGTGGAGGTGGCAAATAATATTTGGTTTAAGCTAGCAGGAGGAAGAGGAATACCAAGAAAAGCAAAAATTGTTTCAGCTGTCTTCTGAGGAAAGCTCACAATATCTTCAAACTTGACCAGCTGATAATTTGTTGGAAGCAAGTCCCTATTTATTCTCAGCGCTGCTGCTGTGTTTGCTAGCCATAAATAGGACAACACAGAAACAGCATTTGACTTAGAATTTGAAAGTTCTTTTCTTAATGATTCATATTCAAAGGCATAACCTTCATTTAAACTACATTTTCCTTTACCATTTTCCCCCTTAAACATTGCAGCCAAGTGTTGTGGAACATTTTTCAAGGAGTAAAGGCTTGGCTTATTTTTGTACAACATTGAATAGATCCACGCCCGTGGGTCCCTCACTACATATAACGCTCTCATTGATGGTCCTAGGATTTCCTGAAAGAAGGGAAGCTTTAATGTCCAGCTCCCACTACTGAAAGTAAGCACAGGCCGTGCATTAGGATAATAGATGAGATGTCTTCTCAGTTCCCTAATATATTCAGCGTCTTTATCTTGACTCACTCTTGCCCTGCTTCTTTGCTCTGACAGAGATTCTCTCTTTTTGGATCTTTTCTTTTTGTCTTTGCTTATGGAAGAATGCTGAGCTATTTTACTTCTGCTGGCTTCATATAAATGAATGTTTTGTAAATGTAACTTTGTGCCTCGAACTAGAGACTGGAGCCACCCTTGGATAAGACGAAAGTGACCATTCTGGACATCAGAAACCTTCCATTCACATGGATCTACAAAGGAATCAATCTCATATTCTGTCTCAGGAATTTCGAGATAGGGGGTAGGTATCCTGATGTATAAGAAGTCACTGCTATTGAAAAACAGCTGTTTTAAAATTTCTGCACCAGAAGCGGGAAGCGAAGTAATGATAACATCTGGCAAAACAAATGGGTTTCCTTCTAATTCTTTGGCTTTATTGTCTTTATCATGTTCTAGCCTTGTCATGTCACTGCTCCACTTTGCACAGATGGGCTGAGTACACATGCTCCACACATCCACCAATTCAATAAGCCACAGAGTGACAACCAGTATCAGGATCCAACGCAACATTTTACCAAAGGATACGTAAAACCGCCACTGAAAAGCCAGTATGACCAAACTAATACCCAAAATTAACCCTGCAATTATGTTCACTTTGAATCCAAATGGGAAAATCACTCTATTATTTTTTATCTGTTTTTTCACAGATTCAGTACCTAGACCAAACTTGGTCACTTTGTTTTCATGAACTACTTTGGCAAAACCACCAAAGCCCAAGTAATCCAACCTTGTCTTTAAATTCTGATATTCAGTCACAACAGAGATGGTATTTTCAGTGTTGTTGACACTGAGGGAAATCTTAAATCCAGATTTTGCATTATCTATCAGTCTACAGTTAGAAACATTGACATATGGGCCATAGAAAAGGTAAACAATCCTTGTAAGCATGTTTTTCATTGGAAAGGTAACATTTATAAACTGAGTCCATCGCTTTTTGAATTCAGCAGCTTGTTCTGCCTCCTGTATCCTAGCAACAGGACTACTCCCACGATGATCAAACCAAAACATCTTGTAGTGGGCATCCCACACATCCATCATAGCTCCGTTGTATTTGTTCTTAAATTTGTAAGGTATGTATTTAAAATCAATGTCAAGATTATGAAAAAAGGCACTGACAGAATTAACAGGAGAGTCTTCCTCCTTCTCGATATGGTCTACTACTAACAATGTCTGAGAATTTAAGAGCAGCAAAACACGATACACACTTTTTAATTTCATTGCTGATGTGTAAGCAGATACCGCCTCGCCACTCACAAACATCATGTCTCCAGCCTGGGAGGCTGTTACAATTTCTCCAGTTGAGTCTCCAACCTCATCACCAATCCACTTCAGCCACTGGGCACACTCACCAAGCTGTCCCTCCCAAGGCTGGTTGCACTGGCTTGTAGGAGATGGAGCAAAGACCAAGACATTGTTCAGGTGGCTGAGTTTAGGTCCATAAAGAGCCTCAGATACAAACACCTGTCCATTTGGAGCAAAAGTGAAAGAGTTCTGATCAGGATGTTCATGTCCTGGATTGAAACTTCTCCACCCATCAATCCAGGCATACGGTTGAAAGTGAACGATATCGTAGACAGCACGTCCACCAAGTTTTCCAGACTTAAAAGACACAAAGGTGTTTGTCTGACTGTGTGGCAATCCAGCCCCATAAGTAACAACTCCCCAGTTAGGAAACACATGCATTTTAGCAGTACCATAGTCAGGAGGTGGCTGTGGAGTGATTTCGGCAGCATACCATATAAATTCAGTGTGTAGTGTGCTCCACCTCTGTGCAGTGGACGGCACCATTGGCCCATCCTTGGGTCTGTGCCTTCTAATTTGCTGTGCCAGCCAGTTGCCAGCTCCATTCTTCATGACAAACTTATCCAGGAAAACTAGTTGGCTCTCAGGGCCATAAAACCAGTTGTAATTAGAATCTGCTACACCCACAGTCCTCTGAAAGCCTGGTAATAGGGTGGCATAGTAAAACCAAAAGTGCATTTTGAGCCAGTTATTCTCCAAGTTGTTAATACCAAAGTGGCGCTGGGCCAGGAAAACATACTGGGTTACTGACTTGGCTGTGTAACTCCCATAAGCTACTCCCTCATCCAGAGAGCCATCTACAATATGATTGAGCAAAAACATTGTTTTCTCCATCACATCAACAACACTGTGTTTCCAAATATTTGCCTGAGATCCTTTGTCCACTCCTGCAACTAAAGCCCCGATAAGCAAAGCAAGCATATTGGTTGCTTGGTGATTATGGAGAAGCTGCTTCCCCCAGGAACGAACCTTTGAGTACTCGTACATTTCCTTGCTTACAGACCATATCTTCTCCAGATACTTTTGCCTTCTCTCATTTTCCAGTGAATTGTACATGAAGTCAAAAGCAGTGGCAAATCCTGTTAGGGAGTGACCAAGTGGCACTTCATCTCCAGGTGCATTCTCAACCAACCAGTTTTTGTAGCCAGCCATTCTATCCATATATTCTAGAGCAAAATCAAATGCAGCTTTATCTTCAGGGCACAGCAAACAATAAAATGCTAGAGGTGGCAGATTGTTACCATAAATCTCATTCCACTTTGCAGCAAAATCAACATGCTTGGGTGGAGGTAGGTAGTATAATGGGTTGGATAGCATAACCATCACCGCACTTCTGATGGCTCTAAATAGATGGGAATGGCTTGTATGAGCCTTCTGCCTCAGTGCCTGGACATCTTCAGCATCGAAATACAAGCTTGGATGAAGAACTGTTTTTTTCAGCTTCTGCTCAGCACTAAGACCTTCAAGTTGCTGTTTTTCATATTGATTTACATTTTCTATGAAAGTCACCCAATCAGAGTAATTGCTTACAGATTCTTCAAAAGTGAAGACAGCAAACATCATTAGTGCTAGAAATAAAGTATGCCCCGTGAACATCAGAGCCATGATCCATTAGGCAGCTCTTCTTCCCCAGGCATGCATTTCCTAACAAAACACAATGTTCAGATATCAAACTCTGATCCAGTTAGTACAAAACAGAACATCTTAAGGCATATTTTTAGGAGAAAAGACTTAGCATGTACTATGCATTCTAACAGATACTCAGACTACTCGTAATCTGAGCTACAACACTGAAATAATAAGGATCTCAAAAACTTCAAACTCCAGTGCCTTGTCTGTTCACACTTTTCTCAAACACACTACAGCATAAATACTAAAATTAGGGAAAAGGCAAAACCTCCAAGTTATGCATATAAAACACAGGCTGACAATGCACAGTGAGAGACTGAAAGACTATCTCTTGGCAACTTGAAAAACTTGACTTGAAAAAAGGAATTGGAGTCATACATTTACTTTTTTAAAAAGCTTTCAATCGGGTCAAATTCCACTTCTAGAGCTGACAAAAACTCCACTGATCACAAAATGATACAATTTATTCAAAACAATGTGTTGCATTTGATGAAAAGGAATTTACAGCACTTGGAAAACAGACTCCAGAACTGAAGTTATTGTCTTCAGCCTTCCCCTTATTTCAGTTTCCATACACACTCTTTCCATCTTTCTCTTTTGGGACTCATGGGAGAACGGGAAGGAAAAAAGAAATTAAAAAAAAAAAATCAGCATAGATCCTCCATCAGCTCCTTTTGATGGAACTGCAATGCTTTTAGCTTTTATTCCCCGCCGTATGTGAAAGGTGTGTCTGAATTAAGAGTCATAGAGTATCAACATATTTTCAAGTCTTCTTTCATCTTATCTTCAGCCAATAATGCCCAAATTTTGCTTCATTCAGACAATCCTGCTCCTGCCATTATGAAGCAGAAGGAAAACATGTGAAAGAGGCAGAAAGCCAACACTTTTTTTGTTGAAAGAGGGGTTTCGGGTTTCCTTTCTCTTTGCATGTCGGTTCTTTCTGTGGAAACAGAAACAGAAGTTCTCTGAAGCTGTATAGGTATCAGAACATATTTAAAGTACTTAAGACAACAAAGTACTTATAACTTTCTAGGAAAGATGTGTTAATACACCTTTTCGTTTTTACAGATTTTTTTTTTTTTTTTAAAGAAGCATTTTCGAAGTTCCACAAAATTTATCTCTGGCAAAACAGAAATTCATACTGGCTAGCTCAGCTCGCCTTATTTCACCTTTTTCTGCGCGGCTAGGAGGCCTCAGGGCGTGTTTTCCCATTACGCCACCGGGAGCTACCCACGAAAACAAACCCGAAACACGCCACCGAACTTAAACGCAGCTCCGATGTTTGCAATACGCCTATCGACAAACCCCGCGCGGGGCCCTGCGGCGGAACGCAGGCCTCACCGGGCACCGGGCGAGACTCACCGACCCCGGGGCCGCCCGGGCAGCATCGCCCCCAACAACATCCCCCACCCCACCCCCGCAACGCCCCCCGGCACCGCCCGCGGCCAGCAGAGGGCGCCCGCCGCCGCCGCCGCCGCCGCCCTCCCCTCCCGCCGCCCGGGGCCGCACAACTTGAACAAGTTTGGGCGGCGGGCGCGCCCCGCACGCTCTCCCCCCGCCGCGGCCGGCAGCCTCCGTCCCCTCGCTCCCGAGCGCAACCCCGTCTTACCGCAGCGGGTCCGGCGGGCGTCGGGGCGAGGCGGGCGGCAGCTGCCGCGGGGCCGCGCCGCTCAGCCTCGGCCAGCGCGGCCCGGGGCGCGGGGCCAGCCCCCGGCCGGGGGGCGCGGGTGGCGGGGGGCTGCGCCGGCCCCGCTCGGCCGGGCCGGGCCGGGCCGGGCTGTGCTCGGCTCCGGCCCCGGCCCCTTCCGCGTTGCCGCTACTTTCCAGCCGGGCTGGCCGCAAGTTCGGGTCCGTGCCCTCCGCCGGCGGCTCCCCAGAGTTGATGGCGGGGGGAGATGCGGCGGCGGGCGCCCAGCGACGGGCGCGGGCAGCGAAGCAAACTCGCACGGATGTCGCTCCGGAGGGGCGGGGAGGGAGAGAGGGAGGGAAGAGGAGGGGGGGGGGGGGGGGGGGGTTGGCAGAGCCGCCCCCGGCGGAACAGGGATGTGCCGATCCTCCGCGCCGTGCTCCGGCGGCGGGCGGGCTCCCGGCCCCGCCGGCGCTCCCGGCCGCTCCTCTTCCCTGCGACTGCGTGAGCCGGAGCCGCTGCTATCGCCGAGCCCAGCCCCGCTCCTGGCGGCGGATGCCACCGCCGCCCCTGCGCCTCGGCAGCGGGCTGCCGGCGGAGCGGAGCGGAGCGGAGCGGGTGCGCCCGGGGGCAGGGCCGGGGCCGGGAGCGGCGGAGGCGGCGGGGGGAGGCGGAGCCCGGGCGGCTCCCGCGGCGGCTGCCCCGAGACCGCGGTGGGGGACGGCGGGGCAGGCTCCGGGGGGCGGGGGGGGGGGTGGAGCGGGTCCCGGTGCGGGGAGCGGCAGGCAGGTGTTGAGAGGGCTCCGGGGAAGAAGGGCTGCCGCAGGGGGTCGGCGTCCCCCCGCCGGGGTAACGGCAGGGCGGTCGGAGAGCGGGATAGCGCAGGGCTGGGCTGGGCAGGGGGGCAGGAGCCCTCCCTCCTTTGGACAACAACTTCGGAAGCGCGGAGTACATGCGTAACGGTGCCCCTATCAGAGGAACCACGGGGGTACGCAGCATCTGCTTGTTGGAGCAGCCCCGCTTTTTGTAACTGCCCCCCTGCGCAGGCACTTTGTTTTAGGCACAGCACTGAGGCGGTTCTCATTCAGCTTTATGAAGTAAGATATGAAACCGTAATGAGGTGTAAAAACCTCTGCCCCCCCCAACTCGTCGGTGAAGGCCCAGTAGAAAACGCTGGCTAGCCTGCCTGCTGCGTGTGGTCCTCCCACGAAATTCAAGACTTATAATGCTGTTCTCGGTACTGAATCACAGTTGGGATTGCCGGTGATGACTTTCAGAGCCTGATTTTGTAACCTGCCCGATGTGATACCAAATTATTTATTGGTAGTAAGTGAACTCTGGGAAAAGGACAGGTTTGAGATTTTGGATATGTGTTACTATTTATTGCGTTTATACACTGTACCTCAAAGGACATGGGTTTTAATCATTCTGATAGTGTAAGTCACCACCTCTTCCCAGGCATAGTCTATATTCTTAACTTTTATTTTTTCCTTTTTTTTTTCCCCCCAATATCTTAGAAATACAGTTGCATATTTAATTATTTCTTATGCTACTCAATGTATAACTATCTTGAAATGAATATATAAATATGTAAAGGCCATACATTATGGATACTGATTCTGTTTCTTTGTGCTATGGAGAGCACCTTAGAAGGATTAAATTATTAAATTATGCAAATTTCCATCAATGATGAACTATGTCTGGAACCTTCCTAATCTTTCAGATGTGCCCTATGGACTTGGTTTAAGAGGGAAAAATGCTGGTTATCACCTGGATCGTATCTTCCCATCAAAAGAAATTTGCATAATGACCAAAGATCAGCACATAATTCCCTGACCTTGAATCTGTTAAAATTCTGCCTTTCTGTGCTACTGGGGAAGTTATTACAGGAGGAGAGTGAAGGAAAATGTAAAGCAACAACAGAGGCCACATTCCTCTTTAAGTCGGTAGAAACTGAATGGAATACACTACAAATTAAAACCTCCCAAATATTTTTCCCTCTATTCCCATTCTACCCCGCATTGTACCCATTATGTTTTTCCTAATTCTGGCCCATCCTGGAATATACTGAAGTCTCAGAGAATGACTGCTCCAATAAATTGTCAGTCAATTCAGAATGACCAGAACATGCATAGGACTTGTGTCAAAAACGAGAGTAAAGCTCTCCCAAGAGCCCTTCACACTCCTCGGGACCTGTGCTGAGATCATTACATATACAGTTTTCAACTGCAATGTGGTATTTGTGGAGAAGCATGAAAATGAATTATTGACCTCACTCATATGTTCACAAATGATACCATTTTGACAAGATCTTATTTATAAGGCAGTGAAGGCATTTGTAAGGCATTTCTCTTTTCTGTGGAAGCTCTTTCACACTATCAAAGATGCACTGGCAGAATACTTAAGGCTGATTTTCTGCTAAGCCAATTGCAAAGCAAGAGCATCTTTAACCATATACGATTTCAACTAGCTAAGGCTACTTACTTTCTGCCATTTTCAAGTAATTCTGTTTAAAAAAAAAACACCCCAAAATAACAATAATGGTAGAACTAGTATTCAATTATTTTCAGTGAGTAATTTGTAATAGTCAGCAGAGAACCACAGTTACTATACTACAACTGAAAAATAAAACCTCATGGATTCAGCTGGTATCCAGGAGAAACAATTAAGTGAAGCAAACTTCAAAGGAGTTGGATTAAGGTAATAAGAAATAGTGACCCTGGGTAGTAACCAGCTCTTCTGCATAAAATGAGCCTGAATTGCATTGGCATTATTCTGTACTTGATTGCATAATGCTGTTTAAAGAGCAGTCGGTAAAATCAAGGTCACTTTCAGAACAACTGTTAACTGTGAAAGTAACTATTAAAAGTTACCATTTACATTTTTATTTGTAAAATGACTGTCCATCTGGCAACAAATTACATTATCCTGTTACATTTTCAAATATTCTTCGTAACTATGAATAGCAGAAAAGCAAGGCTGATGTGCTATCAAGCAGGAAAAAGATGCTGTAAAATTCGTAGCAAGGAAATGAGTTTTGACTCATGGGAAAGTGACCTCACTGTTACTGTACGTTCTTAGTAGAAGAAATCATGGGTCACTGTTAATGATATGCTTCAGGGATAGCATTCTGCATTGATACCAAAATCAGCCATCTGAATGATCTTCAAAATGCTAGCAGTGTTATCCTGCTTGAGTACGGGCCAAGTGCTAACAGATGGAAGTGAAGAGTAGGATAATCAGCTGGACGGCAACAAAATATTTGCCAGTGTCAAAGGGGATAATAATTCAAAAGTTCATAATGAATGAGATGCTGTTGTCGAATATGAGGCATTGATCCACATACCTATACAAAAAGAGACAGCTATTTAAGTAGGATCTGGACTGAGGTAGCTAGCTGTCCAGTAATGGTGGACTCTTGCAACTTCTGCCCTCAAGCAGCAAAAGTACATAAACTCTTAAGTTTAAAGTGCAGGTTTTATTTCAGAGGCATCACAAGTTTGGGGGAGAGTTCTTCATCACTCTGAAATCTCTCCATATTGGCAGGGCTCAGTGCTTATTTCATTATTAAACCTAATTGTGGTCTGAAAGACACACTTTTCTTAATCTGTATCTATTCATAGATCTAATTCATTGTGAATTCTTGAAATGTACGTCATGCACAGCTCCTTCTTTTACAATAGACAAAGAACCCTCAAACACTGGAGGTCAAGGTAGTTGTTGTGTGGATCCTCTTTAATGCAATAATCTGTTGGTCAGAAGCACCCACCTTTCACAGGAAAGATGTGGGTGCAATGGTCTTTTCTCCTTTAAAGGATGCTAACCAAAATTTTCCAACTCTCAGATAACCTAATCTCTTATCTGTTTCAACATACAACATCTTTCTGTTCCAAACTGGGGGCATCCTGTGATATCATATCACTTTTCGTTAATATAATCACAGACAGAAATTTACACACATAAATGAATTATATTAGAGGGAAGGAATTAGACCCTCTGCCTTCCAAGAATAGCTCTCACATTTTATGATAAACAGGTATTGGAACGAAGCCTATACCACATTCTTAGAGAAGGGGTCGTTAGTTCGAATCTGGTCTCGCCTTCTGCCTGTGACACTACCTTTTGCAATACCCAAGTCCACTTCCTCTCTTTGTAACCCCACCTGACAGGAACACAAACAAAACCCACCCTGTTAGCTAGTCTACTAGCTTTGGAGGGAGAAATCTGATGTTGCTGATGAACATTTGACAAATAAAGGCTGTGAAACATAAAATACATAAACAGTTAATATCTAAGTTCCTATCTTTTGGGGGTCAGGCGTATGGAATGGTAACTAATTAAAAGCAACAGCAGCAAAACACAAAGAAGCAAGCAAGAATATCCTGTTTTTATTAAAACTAAAAATTAGCATAAGATTATCACACTGCACAAGCAAAGTAGAAAAGGAAGTGACTTTTTTTTTTTTTTCCATATTACAAAAACTTCTTAGTGGAGTTCTCCAACACTGCAAGACTGGAGTGCTCACAGGCTGAAAAGTGGCTGGTGTCCCTGTCAGCAGAGAGACATAGGATGGAGCAACTGCCAAAAGCAGCAGCGCTGCACTCTGTCCCAGCTGTGTGCTCCTGCCAGCCCCTTTGTGTCGGAACAGTTGGCAGTCTCATTGCTACATAATTACTCCTGCAGACACAACAGGGCAGCACAGTTTTAGGCCAGTTTAAATAGATTGTGAAACTGCACCTTAAAAATGCCAACTGCATAAAGGGGTAATTTTAAGTCCATTCATGATTATCGTAGGCACTGCCTAATAAGCAAATGGGACTATTTGTACTTTGGTAGCATTTTTATCAAACAATCTTCACTGGAGGTTGTTTTAAAGCATCAGGGATGACATTGTATACAGTGGTGGGACCTCGAAGATTCTCAGCAGTTGGTCAGAACAGCACAGGGCCAGAATCTTAATATATCAAATTCATTGGAGCAATGTCTGTGCAGATCTACATTGGTGCACATTTTTCACCATGGAAACTCATCACCAATTAGAGAAAGAAGATTAATATTACAAATGTTGTATTTAGTGAAACATTTAAGAATTCAAGGCTCGCTGATTATATTTTGGCTATTTTGCAACCTGTCCCTAGACATTGCCATATTAAATAAATACAATATGTTGGCAAATTAATCATAACATAAAATCAAAAGAGTGGAAGATGAAGGAGTCTTCTTTTCCTTGCCTCAGCGTTTTGGCTGTCTAAGAAATTCTTGACATTAAACTCACCCACCTCCAAAAAACTCCACAAAACCAACCACCAAAAAACCCCAGCGTGAAGTTCACCAGGCATTAAGTCTTGAACCGGGATATAATATATTCACTGGACATATGAGTGATCAAATATATGCTATAGTTTGGGCCAGGGAAGAACTTAACATCAGAATCTTGTGAGGTAGGAAAGCGTTATATAATATTGCTGTAAACAGGGGTTTACCCTTGGACTGCAAATAAAGGTCACACATGAAGAATCAACGCATAGAGGCATACCTATCCTTTGATGTTGGTATAACAAATCCCATGGTTTTTCATTTTAGCAGAGGTATTTCAGCTGTAGCTTTGCGATCCTAATGTAAGCTCACTGTTG